TCCAATCACGATTTGGGGCAATCTGACCTACTCCTCTTGCAGCGCCACGACCAATTCTTGCAGTGTTGTCAGTTCACGTTGACGTCGACGAACACGTCTCCCGATCATGTCCCAGACATGCTCTATAGGAGAAAGGTTAGGACTCATGGCTGACCAAGGCATATGGACAATATGGTGACGCTGGAGGTAGTCATTCACGAAACGAGCGCGGTGGGCACGGGCATTATCATCTTGAAAGATGAAACGGTGCCATGATGTGGTCACGGTAGTACACACCAGTGACCCTTCCTTGAACAATATGCAAGTCCGTTCTGCCAGTCATGGTGGTTCCTCCCCACACCATGACAGACCCACGCCCGAATCTGTCATGTTGTCTAACGTTAACGTTAGCATGACGCTCATTTACACGCCTCCAAACGCGAGCCTATCGGTGAAATCCAGAATAAATCTGGACTCATCTGAGAACATTACACGCGCCCATCGACGATTACCCCAATTTCTACGCTGCTTACACCATTGACGTATGTTTGCCTGTGCTGGCGAGTTAATGGAGGCACAACACGCGGTCGCCGCGCATGCAAATGGGCTGCATATAGCCGATTTCTAATCGTTTGGGGTGTAACTCTAATTCCTGTAACTTGGTACAAGTTTACAGAAAGCTGATTGGCCGTTTGTCCTCGATTTCGCAGTACCTGTTTACGAATGTATCGATCCTGGGCTTGTGTAGTGGCTCTAAGACGACCTGAACGAGGTCTATCATCAACATTGTGTGTTTGTTGGTACGGGTTCACAGTCTGCTGATCATAGACTGTGACACATTAAGCATGTTGGCTTCTGCTCGCTGTGTAGAACCCATTTGAAGCATGTCAATAGCACGTAGACGACGTTCATCATGTTGAAGACGTCTCATTGAAAATTAAACGTAACACTAAAGCAAAGATACGCTAAACAGTAATCTTATGCAAGAACCGAGAGGAAAGCAATCGTGGATAGGATAAACCATCACGCGGCAGTTTTCATCAACCCTTCCTTTGAAGGGTTCTGTTGGGGCGATAAGTTCTTCATCTGAGAACATACTCTCAAAGCATGTCAAGTGTCCATGACTATTTATCATATCACAACCTGCACATAGGTATTTGCATTTTAATATCCCCTATTGCAGTGTATTACCCTCCCATAGATTATGGCCACTATTTGCATATAGGCTATGCAAAAAGTCAAATAACCTATACTTGAATGTAGAACCAAGCTCTGTATTTGAATAATTGAGAAGGATTACTCAATTATCCATAATTCCCTCTTATGTAATTTTCTTCTCGGTCAATTCATCAAATAATTATTTACTTTGTAAGATTGTTGTTGATGATTAGAGTATTGACATTGATGAAGTTATTTTCTGCGTGACTTGTCTACAAGAATCAAAGCTAAAAATTACAATAGCACAGCTTACTGTTATGTTATCATCAACACGTATCATAATATCAGACTCGCGTACATTTAAAGATACGATGTTATATACAACTTAATGTTCTGTTATTACCAACAAGTATTACATTACATAAACTGTCATCGTAAGATTACACTCGCATAGCTTTAATCACAAGGTACAATATATACTTTTACTGAAACGAATGAATGGAATGGGGTTTAACGTCCTACTTTTCAGCTGCAACGGGATAATGAAGACGGGCATGAGTCATGCAGTGTGCTATGAGGGAAATTTCATTTGAATTTCAACTGTCAAGTGTACACACGGGGCCTCGGTTTTTCGTCCCATCCGAAAGACTGGATGCCGTTCTTTGCCAGGCTCTATGTCATGCATCACTGACAACGCGACAATCCCCGGGAATTCTCGGCCAACATCAGGATTGAACCCTGAACCTCCAAGTTAGCAGGCCAGCGCCATACTCACTGAGTCACCACAGTTTCTCTTTTACTTAAAGATAATATGTAAAGATAGGCAATCTTTTCAACGCACTAAAATAAAAGTCTTTTGAGAAATTCACGTTGTCGACATGTTTTGTTGTAATTTTGTATTTAAACTTCGGTTTTTGAAATGTGTGTCCTTGCTATAACATCTGAAAGGAATTCTTACTTCGGGACCTCACATTAGCGACAATCTTTTGTTTGTACTTTTGTATTTGCATTAACATTTGAGGCAGTTTTATAATTTGTCCATGACATCTTTCTAAACCATAAATCTTCTCTTAATTATAACTGTACCCTAGCCATTCTATACTGGGTGTATGTCAGTGACCGACAAAAATTTGGTTGAAACATCTGCTTTGTCCATACTGTAAATTGTCTCCACCAAAGAATTCGGGATTTTAAAATGTATGATAGTGTTGGATCAAGATAGCTTAGTCGACGAGTCAGCGATTGCACCAGGAACACCCGGTTCCACAATACGTCAAGACACTGGATGTAAACACTAATAATATTCGGCGTTATATTTCTATGGATTTCGCCAAATAAATGAAATGAACCGGGGTTTAACGTCCTACGTTTTTGCTCCATTCGGGCTAATGACGTCAAATGTTCAAATGGATTTTAGGGTTTTAAACAATAAATACCTTCTATATAAATGGCAGCCGCTATTTCTAACTAAGCGATTTATTTACCACTAATTGTCAAGTTACTCGTTTGGAAATGAATTCCATTAGTTAGAAACCACAACATTTACAAGCCAGTAAATTAGGTCGTAACGTTTCCAATTATTTTACAATTGCCACTCAACATTTTCCATCAATCTCGATTTTTCTTGACTCTAGGGTTAACAGCTATTTTTAGTGGTTTAGAAAAATTAATTGACATGTCATCACAATGAGAACTATCGTAAATAAGCTTAAAAAATATATAGAACATGCCGGCTAAAGGATGAATTTAACTGCAATGTACCAGACAGATAAGATTTGGTCCACTTGACAACAGGCAAACAACCAGGCGAGGGGGTTCCTCGATTGATTAAGCCAAACTTTAAAAAAACCAAAAACCCCCCAAAAAACTACAACATATCACTGAGGGCATTCCATAGCAAAGCCTAGCAGATGATTGCTGTATTAAAGGGATTATCCCAATTTGAACAGAGCCTCAAAATTAAAGTCCGTGTACCTATGAAATTTAAGCGCCAATATATAGAGAAATGGTGTGTTTACAGTCTCCAAATTTCAGCTCAAAATATTGAGTCGTTGCGACGTGAACGTCAAAACCGATTATCCGGACACTTAACCCTTTTAAGATTTCGGGACAAGTTTTTCATTGGATGACCTGATAATCGATTGCCGTTCCTTTAGGGGTTTATACATCGCATGACCCATGTGCTGTACTTGATAACGAAATGTAAATGTCACCTATACCTTATTTTTATAAAATTAAAGTCTGGTTTTATCCAGACAGCATAATACAGCTTGGGACATCGGTCAACATTTTCATATGAAGACTGGCGGGTTTAAGTTGTTTGAAAACGTATCACTCTTCAAAAAAAAAGTAGGGGATATTGAAATGGAAATACCTATGCAGGTTGTGATATGGTTAATAGTCATGGACACTTGACATGCTTTGAGAGTATGTTCACAGAGGAAGAACTTATCGCCCCAACAGAACCACTGAGCTGCACCTGCGACACGCAATTGCGCCATACACGTGGAAGGGGGTAAGCGTTTTTTTCCATCCACTGGAGCAAGGTGTTATGACGTCATATGTGAATTGTGGGTTAGGATAAGGGTTAGGAATGGCCCAGGGTTAGGGCTAGCCCTGTCTACATCTCGAGACTGACGAAATCTGCAGGCCACAGCCCTTATCCTAACCCACAATCCACATATGACGTCATAACACCTGGCTCCAGTGGATGGAAAAAAAAACGTTTACCGTGGGAGGGGTTCATTGTCAAATTTGACACTTCAAGGAAGGATTGATGAAAACTGCCGCGTGCTGGTTTATCCTATTCTTGAATAAGATTGACTGTTTAGGTATCTTTGCTGCTTTAGTGTGTTACGTTTAATTTGCACTGAGACGTCTTCAACATGAACGTCTACGTGCTATTGGCATGCTTTAAATGGGTTCTACACAGCGAGCAGTAGCCAACATGCTTAATGTGTCACAGTCTGTGATCAGCAGACTGTGGAACCGGTATACCAACAAACACACAATGCTGATGATAGACCTCGTTCAGGTCGTCCTAGAGCCACTACACAAGGCCAGGATCGATACATTCGTACACAGGTCCTGCGAAATCGAGGACAAACGGCCAATCAGTTACAGGAATTCGAGTTACACCCCAAACGATTAGAAATCGGCTACACGTAGCCCATTTGCATGCGCGACGACCGCATGTTGTGCTACCTCCAGCATCACCATATTGTCCATATGTCTTGGCCAGCCATGAGTCCTGACCTTTCCCTTATGGAGCATGTCTGGGACATGATGGGGAGACGTGTTCGTCGAGATTTGCCCTTTACGTCCATATGTAACAATATGAGCACATATAAATATAAATTTTAGTCACATTTTTTCATCCTGTGAAACCCAAACATAATTGATCACTCAAAATAAGCTCCACCAACCCTCGCAGTTTCAAAGGATGATATAGGTATTTCAATTTGCTCCCTAAAATGAAGTTTTACTTTTCATTGGGTACATTTTATGTCCCCCAATTCCAAACTAGCCCGTAAACGTTGAACTTAGTGAGACCCGAATTTCCTGAATTACTAGATAAAACGCATTTTCATTTGGCCCTGTCAATGCCAACTAAAAGGCAATGAACACGACTATGGGTTGTTTGTATAAATGTAATACAAGCAGATCAAGACTTTGAGTTATGTGGCGCGTACATGTGTAAGTAGAATCTGTATTAATGAAATGGATACGATTGATCATATACTTTGATGTAAAAAGGCATGCAATACAGCTCACGGTGAAAGTTATAAAATACATTTGATGTTAACAGAATAGTGGAAACTCAATTTCCCTAATCTATCTAAAATAAAATAAGCTGTACTTACAGATCTATCTAATACCAATCTCATTGACTTCAATAACATTGATTCACATTTAGGAATGGCTATATTCATATATCGATGTCTAAGATTTCCGAATAATTTCAAACTAAATCCCTGGGTCTCTTGGCGTTCATCCATCAAAATACCATACGCCCCTAAATCAAAGAGAAGATTATGGACTCCGGTTTCTGGAACCGGGACAGCACCATGAACTTGACGATCGACACCTGCTACGGCACCATAAGCCTTACAGGAATGTTGTAGGAATTCATCATTAAGACCCATGATTCTGGCACCATTACCACTGGCACCATCGCAGGCAATGACCAATGTTCTACCAATAATGTTATCTATTTCTGGTATATTATCTCTGGTAAACTGAAGTAGAAAAGGACATTAATTCTCATTCAATATTTCCATTTGATTTTCTGAAAAAAGGGCTACATGGTAGCACCTGTCGCTTGGATTGGATAACAAACCGGGTAAAGTATATTAGTCTGGATGCGTTGTCAACATTTGAGAATAATAGGTCATCGGCTAGATTATCCGTTTTTTTTAGATTATCATAGACAAAGTCTAAGACAGGTAACTATTTTCAAAAACAAGATGTTGGCGCCCATGAAATTAATTTAAGAATGCCATTTCAAAAAATCCATTTGATTGCATTGCCAGTTCAATATCCAACACTTTTAATTTTTGTATTGTAAAATTTCTCTCTTCATGGGCTATATATATGGGTTTTTTTTAAATTAACCCTAATTCGCCGTCACGATTCATGTTTGTTTACATTAATGTAAGAATTATGGGAATTATTGCGGGAAGGGGCGCAACTCTTACCTTACTTGGCCAAAGTTACTTGATAATCAACCACATTAAAAATCAAACTCCAGACTGCAAAGGTTATATCTCAAGTTAATATGAAACACACTTGTTGTTTGAATGATGATATTCTGCATGCCTTCTGGTAATCCTGAAGTTGCTTAAAATTTCGTGGGTGGCAATAAAACACCCGGGGTCGGATCCAGGCGTGGACCGGTAAGAAACTTCGGGATTTTTCAATCCTGGTTCTCACATGTCAGTTCGATTAGGGAGCGAGCGATTATTTTCTCTCAGTATGATTAAAACACAGATATTTCGTTTCATATTTTATAGTTCAAAATTTCGTTTTACTTGTCTTTACTACACTAGGATCTGGAAGAGTTGTTATATTACTGGCGTTTTGGTTGAAGTGAGAGATTAGCCTATGAAACGGTCTGTTACGGCGAGTTCTTGGCGTGCCATGCACGGAACTGTGGGTAAACCACTAGAAAATTTTCAACGCTGATTGATTAATCAATGTCTGGCGTCATATGGTCAAAAGTCGCTCGTACGACCCCTCACGCGACCTTCCAGTACAACTTGTCGGATCTCCATGTAGTGTAGGCCATCGAAAGCATAAAAAAAACGAAACGAAATAAAGATCTGTATTTTAATCCGATTGATTTTCTCTGTCTCTGTTATGGGAACAAGGAACATTTTTCACAAAAAAAACCCAAAAGACAATCGTATGTTTTTCGTTTAATACACACCCGTTAAATTCCATGTCAGAAAGTACATGGTGGTCAATTTAAGTAAAAGGTACATGTAGCGCTTACAAAATAATAGTTCAAACGTAAGTAAAATATCGAATTATTGTAACCAATCTCGTATATGTCTAAAGTGATTTTAAATGAAGTAGATCGCGTTGTAGTTGTGAAAAAAAATATGGTGATATATGGCAGTAGCGGATCTAGAAGCTGTGAATTTCGGAAGGTAGGGGGGAGGGGGGGTCTAGGGCGCCATCCACACTTTCTCCCCACAATGAATGTCAACAAAATATGTAATAAAATGCATAAAATGACCCGTAGTTCGCACACAGCATAATAATATTCTATTGTCTCAGAGCTTATGATTTTATCAAATTCTCGGGTGATCCCCAAACTTGACGTCTCCAATACTAGGTCTCCCTTGACTCGCTATACCAATCTCATAATGCATCATTACACACTACACCTGCCTGTCCATGTACCATGTGAAATTAACCTGCTACAGAATTTATTTCAAATCAAAGAAACATTCTTGTTATGACAAGATGCAGACGACCTAAACACGTTATTATTATATTAACTACATAACATTCACAATGTGCTAATGAAGTTGAATAAAATATGACGGACTAATCGCCAGAAATTTAGCAGCTAGAAAAACATATCGTGCGTTTGTCTGGTTTTAAGGATAATATCAATGTCAATTTAAAACCCAACCATGCCCAGAATAAACGTCAAATATAGACCATACACAAAATACACATATGGTCCACAAATTATTGAAATTGGTCGATTTTTAACTTATTAGACAAATAAAAAAGTAATAATATCAAAGGGGCATTAGGTAAGATTAAATAAAGAGCTGACAGTTCTCGTTAAAATAGTTACAAAAATAGGTAATGAAAACAGAATATGCTGAAAATTTCAGTCAAATTGCGTCACTCTGAACCGGGATATTAGCGATTCATTTCAGGCTAGCCTCCATCGTCATTACTACCGTTAGTACGATAATAAACAAAGTTTCGATTATCCATTTTTCCACTAAACATCGCAGACTAACGATAGCATCGAGGGTTGATTATGGTCTTGATAAGTTAATTAATGTCTTATTCATAATTTAGATAACATTTAAGGCCCAATAGGCAGATTGCATGTTTAATTTCTGTTATCTTTTCCGTACAAAGTTTCTCCATGAAAATTTTTTTAATAATAGTTTTTATTTCAGTACATACTTTGGAATTGTGAGATATGTGACGGGCATGGCTTACTGTGCCTTTTGACAAGAAAATGTGATCTTGCTATGAAATCAATCCGTATCAGCCCTGTAATCCGGGTTATAATAATAATTGGATGGTAGCAACACACAAGTTAAAAGAAGAACTTGAAGATACCCATGGTATGAGCTAAATTGGGACCCCATCTTTGATCGGAGGTTAACTAATTTTGTTAATTTATGAAAGATAGGTAGGTTATTAGAATGAATGTAAGGATTGTTAATTATCTTAATGTGATATTAGCTTTATTTCCATCCATGTTTTAATGTAATTATTAGTTTTCATTTAAAAAATAAATGGCCTTTTCAATATCCATATGTTTTCTAATTTCTATTTTCTATCTAGTCTGGGGGTAAAGGTTAGGCAGGAAGACAAAATTAATGTGGCATTATTCCCCCGAAAGATTATGATAGGGATCATACAGAAATGATGGTCAATACTTTGTACAGCCAGACCCGATGGCCAATATCTGGGGACAGTTTGTTTTTGATTCAAGAGTAATGTTTGCAGCTTCGAAAAATTTGTTTTGGCATTGATAACGCATCTGTTTTGTCTGTTGTAAATAGTACACAATATTTATACTAAACATGTCTAAAATCTGTACAGTGAAAATAAACTAGCTGTGATGTTGATAAACATGTCACAATCTACATTCTGAATCACAATGAAAGTTTTGTAGGCTACTCGGTATATTGATTTGAACGCACGATAAGTTTACGTATGGGAAAACACTAAAATCTATGTTAAAGTATGGATCGAAAGAGAGAGAGAGAAAAGGGGGGATTTCAATAATGCTTGCGAGCAGGTTAGACAGGCGATTGTGGCGAGCCACTATTACTTGGATATATATCAATTTATGTGTGTGCCACCGATTCTATTTTCCAAATGAATTCCATACCACGCGAATATATGATTATTTCGTTCTACACGAAATTAGTGTATGTCAATCAATGGTTTAATATCTTGGTATATACGAGCGTATATATAAATATCTATGTTGAAGGTACATCTACTTCACACACCTGGTGGAATAGTCCGTGAGAAAAGAATGGTTAAAGGTTATCGTCTGCTAGACATCCAGGAACAAATGAAACTTATAACCGACATGGTACTATAAATACTACACCTATATTTGAGCTGACAACATTCCGGTCGTGGAGTACACTTAGGTTAAAAAAAAGAACTACTTTTTTTTATTCCTTTCAAGAAGACTGTATGTTTCATGTCTATAATCACCAACGACATACATGTATATGGAATTATTTCGCACTCCAGGAGTCTGGAATCTTCAAAGCCAAGAGTCATACTTGAAACCTACTGGAGAGATATAGCACGTTCTTAGCCTACAAAATTATTAGTATATAATTGGAGTGACTGCGAAAGCTCTTATCACAAGTTATTGAAAATTTTCCTTCGAGAAAAAAAAAAAATAATATATATATATATATATATAATATATACTGTTAAATAACCGTCCTTTTTTTAAACATTCGGGTTACTATAATTGAACTCGTCATTTTAAAGCAGTATTTATATCCAGGGCCAGTGAGTGTGGAAAAATTAAGGAAGAATTGGTGAATTAAAAACTATAAGCCATCTGCCGGGGCCTTCGCGGTTATCGATTGCTCTAGGTAGGCTGACTGGTACCCATTATTAAAAACGAAACTGAAAGCGAAACTTTTACTTACGTCTTTGTTTCGTTAGGCGTTTTTTTTCTTCTTCTTAATTTTTTTTTTTTTTTTTTGGGGGGGGGGGGCAATGTGTTTTAGCAGAGTGACCTCCAGTTAGCCTGGTTATACCGTACGCCAAAATGATGCTAGAGGCCACACATCTTTCAAAAAGTTTCGAGCCCAAGGGATGGGAAGGGGGAGGGGGAATCAAGATATGTCAAGTACCTTTGACACGATAATAAACCAGCTATGCTATATCTTGTCATAACCAATAACGTCATTCTGAATATATATAGTACCGGTAATTTGAATGAAATTTTCAACATATTCATTTTTGATTATGTATTTTTGATCTAGTATAGCACGAACGACGAACTCTTCATCTGAATTGTACACAGTTTAAATTCAATAAATTATGACATTTTTTTGAAGAAATCACAAGCTATATTGGATTGACAGTGTTAAATCTCGAAACGCAATTTAAATGGTGAACAATGATAAAGTGGAATTTTTCAATTGGTCTTCTGTGAAGAAGTTCGTAGAAACGCAGTCGGGGAACTAATTAATTGAAGTATTAACAGAGCGAATATTTGACAAGTGCATTTGTCTCAGATGAAAGTACATGAATAAAAAATCAATTGCCTCTTAACATTAAAGATGCATTACGTAAGATATAAATCTGCCTATTGCGAGTCTTTTTTCAAATGTTATATAAATTATGTAAACATTTATTTACATGACAAACCCATAATCAAATCTCGAGACCGAGATATTAAATGGATTAGACCATCCATGCCATTCAATCTGATAACCTTTAAGTGGACCACAAAGGCAATGGTCAAAATTTAAAATATTCATAACATCTCTCAGAATAAATCTTACATAATATATCTGTAACTACTTTTTCTATCCTTGAAAGGTTACATCATGAAATCAAAAAATATTAATATTTGCTTACCTTCGTTCCCAGACGTAAATTTACTTTTTTGTTAAATTTATATAAAGCGCTTAATAAGTAGTCTGTAAAAACACCTATTCTCGTATAAAAATAACCCTCCTCCCAACATCCTTCTAAATTATCAAAATCTACTCCAGAACTTCGCAAAAACTTCACGGTTTTAGGATTAAATGCTATTTGATGAGGTCGATTGCACAGTGCATTTCTACACAATTCTTCAAAAAGTATCACATTTGAAACTTTCTTTGATAAAGCTGCCACCAGTACCGAGGTTAATCCGACAGGGCCACCACCGATGACTACAACGGTGAGCTTGGAATGAAGGCGTCGGAAGTTCTCTATAACAGTTTTTGTTAGAATAAAACCGCCAACAATCGTCATTGTACAAATGATATGATATACGGCAAGTGTGGAATGCACATACAGAAAGTCTCGCGGGTCACATTTTAATTTGGTAGTCATTTTGTTGAACTTGATTCTCTTGATTACATACGTATTGTTACTTTGCGTAAAGTCAGAGTTCTAACTCATCATTATAGTATATTCCTGTTAGGCATCGTCATGATGAATGCTTCGTGTTTCACCGCTCAATATACAAAGCACATGGTAGTATCTTCCTCAAGACAAAGGGCTTCTTTTCAAAATACCAGCCGAACGTTTAAAGGTTACAAGGTTGGTGGATGATATTAATGTAAACCTGAGGCAAAATATGTTTACGTCCGGTTATGAATGAGTTCCAATGAAGTCTAGCATCTGAACTTGATTTCTGATGTACGCTTCGATTAGTTCAAGAACAATCACCGAGTCCTTTGCGAAAGCAGACGACACAATATGTGGGTTTAATCATTTCCTTTGTGGTTTGATGTTAGCCTTCGAACAATCTGTGAAACTTAAAGTTACAAGTTACGTCTTATATCACAATTGATGCAGTAAAAAACTTACAGATACAGATAATATAGGGACGTACGTCTAAATCTAAACAGTCTTTTATGTTGTGTTTGTACTGATAATATAGTAAACCGTGCCGTGTAACCACATGTTGCAGAGTGACACAATTTCCTACAATATTACAATATCAATACGAGTTGTCTATCTCGTGTTCAATCAATCAACTAGGCGGCAACCATTCTACTTCTGCTACCGGTGAACACAATAGAAGCAAGATATTCCTCGCGGTTGATGACACACAATTTGTAGACTCGCTTCTATAGGCTACAAGACATGAAAATACTGTACATTTTCCTGTGGGCAGATTAGCCGAAGGTATTTACATAACACTGTCGCAATCGTATTAAAGACTGGATAGGAACGTGCGGTATCGAGACACTGGCAATTGTATTGAATGTTTGATTCCCACACTAAACTAGGAAAATAAAATTTGAATTATTTGTTGGTCTTTGTTGGTCTGTTGTAAGCTCTACATCTGAAGTCTTAATAAACAGACAGCCACACCGCTTTTCATCCACCTGAAGTCTTTTGCTGTAAATACATGTATATAGATAAGTATTGGCATTATTTAATATTGGTACAATAATTATTTTTCAATGCTATCTTCATAAGCAAAAACCAGACACGTTTGAAACAATATAAATGTTTTGTTTTATTGTTGAGTTTGTACTGAGAGGTACTTGTTTGACACAAACTTAAAAAAAAATACTACCGCTAACATGATTTAATATATCACTTAAGACTTGGAAAATAATCAGAAAATGTCCAGTATTTGGCGTTTAAATCAATAAAGGTATTAACCTTAGTGTTATTGTTGATGTTAAACATACATTATGCAAGAGCTAAATCTGCCTATTGCAGGTCTTTCTTTAGGCCTGAAATGTTATCTAAATTATTAATTAGACACTAATTAACTTATCCAGACCATAATCAACTCTCGATGTCATGGCTAGCCTGTGATGTTTATTGGATTAGGTTCCAATTTGCTGTTCGACTTCCATTCATAATTCAATCATGAAATGGATAATTGAGACTATGTTTTTTATCGTACCGACTTTAGTAATGATGATCGAGGCTAGGCCGAAAATTCATTCGCTAAAATCTCGGTTCAGAGGGGATCAATTTAACTGACATTTTCAGCAAATTCCCTTTACATTATCTAGTTTTTAACTATTATAATGAGAACTGTCAGCTCTTTATCTAATCTCCCATAATGTATCTTTAAGTGTTGATTTATCACTAGCACGGCCAACAATCTTAATTTTAACTCGATTTATAACGTTTTTAACAACCAACAAAACAACTGTTTTTGTCGACAAAACGTGTTTGATTTGGGCCTACATCCTACGCGAAATATATTCATTATATTTCCTGGGTGACTGTACTGGAGGTAAAAATCAATAGTTACCGAGTTCAATAAGGAAGTGACTCTGCACTTACAAACTTGTGTATCCGAGGTTTCGGGTTCACTTCTGCGTGGTTTTCTCTTGCAGTGGGGCTTGACGGAGGCCTTGCACAAGGAACAACGTCTTGATGTCCGAACGGACGAAAAACCCGAGTCCCGTGTACACATTGACGTGTACGTAAAAGAACCCATGACAGTTGAAATTTGAAATACGAGTAGACCATATCGACTCACAGCGCACTGCATGACGTATGTGGTTGCAGAAAAGTAGGACCTTAAACCCCATTTCATTTAATTAAAATAGCCTAAATAGTAAATTAATTAAAATAGCCCAAATAGTAAATTGATTAAAATAGCCCAAATAGTAAATTAATTAAAATAGCCCAAATAGTAAAATAATTAAAATAGCCCAAATAGTAAATTAATTAAAATAGCCCAAATAGTAAAATAATTAAAATAGTTGGCGTTGTTCTCAATATGTACGTAACGAATTTGTACGCGTTTCATTCTTATTCTGTTCGAAGGCATTATGGCGATCGGTTTGTCGGTGTGCGTCTGTCCCAATGTATGTTTAATTTGAGTAACTTAAAGGAGCTAAGTCTCTAACTCAATATTTTCCATAATATCCGAAATAAAAAACACGAATTAGAATTTAATATTGATCAATTTTAATCAATATTGATGGTGCTATGTTGCTGTTAAACTATAGGATCCTAATATCCAATTTTATAATCAGTAAACGAGTCGTGTACCCCATGGTTTCGGGTGGCATTTTGTAATGAACAAAGAAAAGCATATCCTACAACACAATGTGGAAGTAATTAGTAAAGGCTGATTCACAAACAACAAAATAATAATTTTAAAAAACGCATAGAATGCACTAAGTATTTGAACTGTACGCGTATTTCACCGAACATAATTTATTAGAAATTACAAATAATTTTCAAAAACTTAATATAAATCACTTTACATGCATTCATATTACATTACAGATACACTACGTGTATGTAATATTTAGATAGAGGGCTGGCCATTCTTGCTTTAATAGCTCAAAAATAGATAATGTAAAATGAAAATATTGAAAATTTCATTCAAAGTTCTTCATTCTGAGCCAAGTTATCACCGTTTGTAGTTTTGGCAAGATGTAGGCATTGTGGTAAGCAGGGCACTGGTATATACGAGACTTAGCCTCGCTTTCCCAATTTCAAATTAAATTTTTAAATGGTGAACCGATCTAATCTATAGTTAAAGGTTCAATACCACTCTTGTTGTAACTGAATAATATGTCGCAATCTTTATTCTAGTCAACAAATTGTACTATTTTACAATATTCCAATTAATTGATGATACAATTAGTGAGGCAGGTTTTCCTGGTGTACAATAGAGAGGTTGTTATTTTCACTATGGTCAATGTATTTGGAGGAAAGTTCAACAACTGGGTCTGTAAACTTCATACCTAGAAGAAGAAACACGCAAATTCGTTAGACGATGTATCGGGATACCATGAGCATGGATTCAAATAATGGCCGAAGTACCAGATAATGAGAAATATAGACAACTGGCCGACTATATGGTTACGCAATGGTTAGACGGCCAATTGACACAGATACAATGGAACCACAACCAAACCACGCGAAGAACCAACAACTCTTTAGAGGGTTGGCACGGACGCTTAAAAAAATTAATTGGAAAAGCTCATCCTAATATTTTTGAAGTAATGGAATTTTTGCAAGAAGAGCAAAAGACGATTGGAATTCAGTTATTGTAGTATTCAAGTGGCCAGCGACAACCACCTAAAAAGAAAAAAATACACCGATATCAACAGGAAGATTGAAGATTCGAAATATAGATATGAACAAGGAAGAATGAATTTGTTAGAATATTTGGACTATGTTGGACATAATTTTATGCGTGCAAAAAGTTAAACTTATGTGTTATGTTATGTGTTAAAGGTTGTTACAATTGCTCCCCAAATTATCTGCTTAATTAGTTTTATCCTTCAGCTTGGTTCTATTGTTCTTGGCGACTCAACCCCTTAACGCCGACCAAAATTTTTCCCTAAAACTCGGCGGGTCGGCGATATGGGAATGAATATAATAGGATTAGTATTCCATTCCTTATTAACGAATAAACCTGGCTAATGAAGACGGGTAATACATTAAACAAATACGCTTATAGTTTATATTTGTCTACAAATTAAAGATCATAGATGTCCTTAATTACATATATTTCAAAATACACAGAGTAATTGAGTGAACTGATCTGTAATATCCAGACGAAAATAGCTAAAAATGATGAAAATGATATTTATACAAGAGCTAAAGCGATATTATCATCGGTTTTCTTTATTTTAGAAAGTTAATTTCTTTGTAATATAAAACAACATAATATGGATTATTATGGGTTATAAAACGAAAATAGAATTTATACTGGTTTACGGGTTTACAGATAAATAAAGCTTCAAATCAATGCTAATTGTGGGTTTTAAAACCATAAACAAAACCCCTAAGGCAAACCCGTGGACAAGACGCACAATGTACACGCAAGACATTGCAAACAATAACAGTAAACACAAACACGTATTTTAGAGGTGTAAATTCTCTCTTCGGATATAACAAGACTTCGAATGATTCTTCAATTCTTTAATATATCGGAACATAAATAAACATATATCGTCACAGAGTACTGACAAGCCAGTTACTGCACTTAGTAAGGGATCCTAACTAGTGACTCCATCAATGTACAATTTTGTTATATTTTTTAAGGAAAATCAAATAATGGGATAAAAGTAAATGTTGTAATTAAAACTGACACGTCGATAGTTGAACAATGCATAAAGGTTTAAACAATATAATAAATCAACAAAACAGTGGCGGCGCCAGGCGTCGGTGATTGGAGGGGCAAAGCTGGGGCAAAGTCCAAGGTTAAGGGGGCAAAGGCACGAGCTTCAACTAGGGGTAGGGGTCCTCCCCCAGAAAATTTTGAAAAAGAGGTTGCCGGAAATGCAGCCTGGCAGTATTTCAGGCACTGATCGATGAGGTAAAGTGTGAAAAGAAAGGACTAGCGAATCACGACGAAGCCCACTCACGAGCGTCAAAGTAAGGAGTCCTCCCCCAGAAAAATTTGAAAAATAGACTGCCGGAAATGCTGTCTTACAGTATTCTGTCAGGCACCGATCGTCGAGATAAATAGATCTGCCCAGATACCGTTCGTCGCCTGATCACTAGTTTATCCAACTAGAGAACAAAATGTCAAACGAACGGACTTGCGAACCTCAACGAATTCCCCTTGTGAGCGAGTCCATTGGGGACCTCGCCAAGAAAATTTTGAAAAATAGACTGTCGGAAATGCTCTACAACATGCAAGTTTATGACTGAGTGGGGATGTGGGATTTATTCACCGTAGAAGGTATTGATTACCGAAACGTATCACAAATACTTTTTTTTATTTTCTAAAATTATTGGGGGGGGGGGGCAAACAGAGGGCAGACAAGATTGCCCCCCCACCCCCTGGTGTCAGCAAATGACGGGTTGAAAAGTGATGACAGGTTAACGACTTAGTAGAGTCAGTTGATCTTAAAGTGGTTAATTTAAGAAACATTAATTATCTTAGCGATTGACAGATTATCACACCATTATAGTATCATACGTCCACTGCGCTGTACAGTCCCAGGCCTGCAGTGAACTAGTGATACAAGTTTAACTCAAAATGAAAACAAATTTATAATAAGGGATTCAAACCACGAAAAAAAGCAATATTTCCCAACCGTTGTTATCGCATTGTGTCCTGATCAGTCATGTGTTACATGACATCTCAATACACCAGTGCAGTGTTTCCTGATCTGACGTCCACAACGGGAAACGGGTTCGTGGGGAAAAAAAAGATAGCCAATGGTTGGTATATGCTATCAATTTCAGTAGCTGATATCGGAGTCATATTAAACACCTTGTGGCTGAGTTACAGGACAATCACAGAAGAGTGAGTGTAAACAAACCGAAATTAAGATGTTATCAAATTACATATTGTTGCCTTAATACTTGTTTCTATATTTTAGATCAAGATTCCCCATTTTAGGGTTTATCAAAGATTCGTGTGAAAAGTTGTGGCACGCGCCCTAAATCTTAATTTCCCTAAAGTAAAGTTAGAAATCTTGAAAATACACAGTAAATGCAGATTGTTGGGGTCATTGAAGATTTGAAAATTTTTCTAAGGGGACCGCAAGTGGATAGCGATTGGAAACCACTGCATTAATGTGTGTTGAGGAAGAACGTCACTACCAAAATTATTATGAATTCAATTACCCATGGAAGTATTACAAAAGAGAGATTAACAAAAGAGGACGGGGTGGGGTGGTGACAACGCTTCGCACAGCTTTAAAATTGTCGTCAATATGCTAAAAGCGTATGGCGTAAACTTTAGGTACAGGTTGTTTCAACGGTTACGTCAGCGAGGCCAAACGCACTATCGCTTAAAATGAAGCGAATTGGGGTTGAAACAAATTGATCAGCAGTGAATATTCGCTAGGCCGCTACAACCACTGAGAGGGATGACATCAGGGCGGCTTAATGAACTCGCGATATTAACTTTTTTCTATCTGCAAATTAAATGCTAAAACATTTTTTTGAAGTATTAGAAAAATAAATAAAGTTGTTTGAAGTTTATATAGATACAAAAATATTTCCTATTTAGTGTAAATAAGCATATAAAATGAGTTAAAGGCGCCATTCTGCCGGGACCAGCTAACGCAACAACGTCTTATGTAAACAATGCACGCGCCATAGAGCCAATGATGGACGCCCCGTGATGTGACGTCACCTATAGAAAACATACTTGAACTTATAAAGTTCAGTCATCTAATACATGTATAAGAAGGTTTTTACAATATCTCTGTGAAACAGATTGGGGTGGAAAGTTGTGCAGCATCCGGGCTAATGAGTCAATTTTATCCCAGACAGCGGCGCTACGGAAAATTCTTGTCTCGAATTCCAACTGTCATTGTCAAGGGTTCTTTTATGGGTACGCCAACGTGTACACGCGTATGGGACCTCGGTTGTTCGTCCCATCCAAACGACAAGACGCTGTTTCTTGTCAGGCCATCTGTCATGCACGACTGACAGAGGGTGGGGTGGGGCAGGCGGGAAGTCCCAAGGAACGTTTTCGTGGCACCCATCAACGTTTAAAATGGCATAATGTATTGTGGGATAACTAATGAAACATGTAAATTTATTAGAAATTAAGTATAACCTGATAACATGGATGTATGCTTTCTCATTAACGCAGAAACCCCACAAATAAAATATTCATATTTTAATAACAAGAAACCAAACAATGTTATTGAGGTAGTTTTTATGCATTTGATTTCTATATGGCTTATACCATAATGCATTGGAATAACCAAGTACAGCCATCAAAAAAAAATTCCTTTATATTTTTCAATCTTGTAAATAGAAACAAATGAGCGTAGTAACCGAGCATAACGTCATCGCCGCAATCTTGGAATTGTGATGTCATATCAGAAATCGAAGTCAGTCAATCGAAGGGACAAACAGAACAAGAACAAGATGAGTAGCGCTTGGAGTCCAATTCTTGGCCCAACCTAGTCCTAAAAGTACGTAACATCACCACTGTATTATTTACTGAAAACATTAGACAATGAAATTAAATTATCCATCATTTTCCAATGTATTACGCCAGTCTGGTCATGCTATAATGTGAACCATCCCAAGAGAATTGTAGTATTATGTCTTAATGGTTCGGGTCTTTCTCATAACATTGCTGGTGAAATAGATTTCAGTTAAAGTGGATGACTTGGGTTCTTTAACCATTACATGTATATCAAGGTCGTATTCTGTGAGACATGCATAGTCTATGCGACACGCATCACAGTTGATTGAGACGATATAAAGCATTCATCAAAATAAATACAAAATGGTAATTAATGTGAATTGCATACAACGATCTTAATTTTAAGAGACATTTGATACTTATCTTTTGTATGATGCATCAACCTTTAGCCATGTGATTTCTTTTATATAAACCCCATATTCCTTGAGAAATGCCACCAAAAATGGACACGGAATACTCAAATATATTGCTCTTCATGAGCTACTGGTATACCTATTATGTTGAGCTATACCGTATATGAGATGCAAAACAACAACTGAAATCGCAAGTTTGGAACTGGGGTTTTTCAGGAGCCGAAACTACTTGGTAGAAGGCAGCGTCGGGACAATCATATTTACCCTGAAAATTGCAAGAATGCAGAACCAATCTCTTTTTTTAAATATTTCCGTTGACAATTATTTCCTGGTTAGTATGGCAATTAGCTAGTATGGTTATCTAGTACCTTCATTGGCGTATTGTTTATCACATGATAATCGAGTCGTGCCTACCATGACTGTCAACACTGAGTTTTCAATATAAGCTTATTAATTTCTTTCGACAGATCAGGGTCGTATAATGTATTAAGGTCTGTGACAATTTGATTGTAAAATAACTGATTATCACATTATTATCAGTTGTGTTACCATTTGTGAATAGCTATTGTCTGTTCTGTTCATTTACGTGTTTATTGTATAAAATGACAATGTAAATAATGTTATTAACTTACGTTTTGACGTCGGGTAGTATAGATTAGTTGTTTATAACTAACCCAGGGCTCTGCTCTTAACTACCCGTATGAGATTGGACAAAATAATGTGGTTTAACGTCCTACGTTTCTGCACTCCATCCGGGCTAATGAAGACGGATAGACACTAAGCAGTGTGCTATGAGAGACATTTTGCCCCGACAGCGACACTGCGGCCTACTCGTATTTCCAATACTGCTAATGTGTACATGGGATCTCGGCTATTTGTCCCTGCACTCGAACGACTAGACGCCAGGCCCTCTGTCTTGTACCCAATGACAATAAGAAACTAATACGGAGAATCCTCGTACATTTTCTCGGCCTACACCGGGATAGAATCCGGGACCTCCAGGTTAGCGAACCAGAGCCTTACTCACTGGGCCATCGCAGCCGTCCTCCTCTATGGACTATATTCCGGACACATTAAATAAAATAATAACTGTTAAGATTTACTGATTATGGGATTTAAACAGTTTTTAAGATCAACCAGATTGTGTTTAAGATGTTAATCAGCGGATTCACAGGTGAAGGTCGCAAAAGATTTATATACACCGTTCAGCTGAATCACTTTGAATGACCTAAAGTCAGATAACTATGTTTATATTACATAAGTTGTCTGGAAACGAGTGAGTCTTAAAATCATAACAATATACAGACACGTTCATCTGCAGCAAGTAGTCCGTGCTACATCTAAAAGTCCAGTAGCGGATCTATAAGCTGTGAATGAGGGTTGGGGCGGTTCCAAATCTAGGGCGACATCCACAATTCCACCCCACAATAAATGTCAACAAAATACTGGCTTTAACACTGTCTGACAGCCACAACTGAGCCTTTTGCGCTGTTAGCGCAAACAAATTTCAGATAATATGTAAATTGGGACTGGATCTGAGGGCATTTTGTCTCACGGGGGAGCCCCCCCCCCCCGCCCCCTCTATATCCGCGCCTGAAAATGTCACACAAGAACTGCAATGAACCAGACGTTCGCAAGAATAAATGGACGAGTCAACGAGACAGTTGACGACAATATGTTCACACTAAATTGCTAGCTATGCGAACTTCCCAAAAAGAAGACGTGGTACCGGGCTTTACAGAAAGGAAACGAGTCTGTTCATTCATTTTTTAGTCACAAAGTTTAATCTACCCGTTAACCATTTCATACGTTAAAAGCTTCATTCAAGATCTAAAACTAACATAAATTTTGAAGGTACAATGCCCTTGAGAACAATTCTGGAAATAGTTTGTATGTTTGTCTTATTTTAAAAAATTAATTTGATGTAATAGACACCTCATTTGTCAAATCATTCAGAATCGCATTCCATTCTAACCGTACTGTGTCAAAAATAGTTATAAAAAAGAAGTCATACCTTTTTATGCTCTCTCCATAAATACGTTAAGTTATCGAAAGATGGTAATACCTCCTAATGTTATCTGTTGAAGTAAAAGGTCGAGTGAAGAGTGCCAACATAAACTAGGATATGGTAAACACCTTATTAATCCAACAGCTGATTCCTGTAGATTATAGGCTACCGTACATTGAACAAGTAAAGGCAGCACATCACCAAAGTGTAATTATATTAAGCTCTCTGGTCTTATAATCACGTTTCTTAATCATATTGATATTTGCTGCACGTAAATGAAATGACAGCGAATTCAGTACATCCGAATAGCAAAGAGTCAGCCTGTCACACGTTGTAACTTCGTTACATAATGTGTTTTTTCCTCCTATTATTTCTTGATACTAATTTGAGTTCTGCTCAGTTAATTAGAGTCGTTCGGAAAATTAAAGACAGACCGCCACATCAGATGGTCCCGCTTATAGTTTTCCTACGTTAAACCTCATTTCATTTCATTTATAGTTTTCCAAAGTGGCAGCTGTCCAACAGTGTGTGCGTATAATGGCGTTACGTTGTTCGTCCGTCGATCCGACTTGCAACAATTGGCTTTTCAAGGCAATAGAGGTAACAATTTTGGACGGAAGTTGTTGTGAATGATAAATCAATGAAATGTTTAACCTTCTACTGTTCTGCTCCGACTGGGCTAATAAAGACGGAAGCTATTGTTAAGCATTGTGGTTATATTCAGCGACCTTCCGTTCCAGAGTTATTCCCCCGGTTCCGAACGCGATAAAGACTACAGATTTTATTGGATATTCACCATTATGTGTCACCAAGTTCCAGAGTTGTGTCGATGCCTCCATTGCCTAACACCTTGTGAACGTGATAAAGGCTATAGTTTTTAACGGATTTTTAATTACACTGAGATATCATGGATACCAATTTTCATTCAAATCTGATAGAATATACAGACCCTTTTGTGTTCACAAGTTATTTTGAACATAATTTGGCGAATACGAGGGCAATAGTTCAACGAATAATTAAACAATTTCATTCAATTCAAACTAATCTGAGATCTAACAGATAAAAAGCAATAAAGTTCCATCGGGTGGAAATCAAAATCGGATCTAAATTGTGACCTCTAGAGGGTTTACAACCTTGGCATACCAGATGTTTACACGATTTGCGTACGAGGGGCGGCCATTTTGTCTAACAGTTTTGGTCCGATTTTCATGAAATTCTAACTCAACCAAAATTACGTTGTAACGGTGATATATTCGATCGTTTTTGTAAATCAGATAATAATTGTGACCTCTAAAAACGCGATTTTTGTACAATCAGGGGCCATAATTCAGGAAGTAACGGTCCGATATGCGCGAATATCGAAAGGAACCGAGATCTTTGGGTTATAAACTTACATTTCAAGTTTCAACAAAATTGGATAAAAATTTTGACCTCTAGAGGGTCCACAACCTTGATATACCATATTTTTACGCTATTTGAGTACAAAGGGCAGCCGTTTTGTCTGTCCGTTTTGGTCTGATTTTCACGAAATTCGAACTCACTCATCCTTAGGGTGTAAAGGTGATATATTCAAACGGTTTTTTTTTAAATCGGATAATAATTGTGATCTCTAGAGGGACCTCAAGCTAAAAACGCGATTTTTCGTACAATCAGGGGCCATAATTCAGGAAGTTACAATCCGATATGTGCGAATATCGACAGGAACCATGATCGTTGGGTTATAAACATGCATTTCAAGATTCATCAAAATCAGATCAAAAACATTGTGACATTTAGAGTGTCCACAAGCTAAAAACCTGATTTTTCGTACAATCAGGGGCCATAATCCATGAAGTTTTGATCCGATGCATGCCATTATCGAAAGCAACCGAGATCGTTTAGAGATAAATCTATAATTCAAGTTTCGTCAAAATCGGATAAGAATTGTGACCTGTAGAGTGTCCACAAACAATTGTGGAAGGACGGACGGGCAGGGGCGAGACAATATACGTCCACATGTGACAGCTACGTATAATGCCTATGTAACTTAGCTTTTAGCGCCGTAGACGGAAAAAAATTCAAATAATATGTAATTTGGGACTGGGTCTGAGCGGAATTTGTCTCACGGGGGAGCTTATACTGGGTCTCACGCCCCCTCCACCCCACCCCTAAATCTAAATCCGCGCCTGATTAGCAACGTTTTGTGTTTTATAAGAATTCCGATATACGAATGTGTTTGGTATCTTGGACTTCCAGCTCACTTGCCACTGCTAAATAGGCATGATGGTGTTGTTATTTATTAAAATAATGTATAATGTATAAATATGTGTCCATTGTTAATAAACACAAAACCATAATATGGAACACAGTTTGTCAGCAGTTTGAACTTCTGTACACGGAAAAGATGATTAAAATTCCCTAGACATGGGATATAACGAAAACTACTCGGGGCACTGGCGGATCCAGGTACGTGTGTGTGTGTTTGTGTGTGTGTGTGGGGGGGGGGGTCTAGGGCCCCTCCCTTCCTAAATACCAGTGCAAAAAAAAATAAGTTGCAGTTTATTGAGGTTGTAGCTGATGGAATTGAAAAGTATATTCGGTCCAGATAATGCCTACAAATCATCATAGACACACCCTTTTTAAAAAAGTTTCTAGGAGGATTGGTCCCCCTTACTCCCTCATATCCAATTATCCTGCGTCCGCCACTGTTAATAATTGACGAATTGCTAATAATAACATCCAGTCTATTACAAACCACGTATTACATTATAAAATGTTGCCATAATACATTAAACAGATTTATTGGAACTTTAAAATTATGGAAGGATAACATTGTCATTTCAATCTTCACAGTGCAAAATAAATATGTTAGCAGTTCAAAATACGTAATTTAGTTTTACAATTTGCAATTTCCATTGCTCCACAATACCAATGTCACGGTGTTAAAATACAGAATACTCTTTTCAATTATACAAAATACAGTATAATAGTTATTTTGCACATTACACTCCTTCATTCTGCATTTTGCATAATAGACAAATGTATAATAGAACTTAGCATAGTAGAACATATACCTTATATTGGATCTAGGACGAAGCTCATTTGCATACCGTGTCTCCCGCTCTTAACCAAATCCCTGCTCAAGTTTCATAAAATGACAACTACTTATTGTGTGTTTAACATACAATATAATTTCTGAAGCCATCTTTATCGTTTTCGTGAACATTTTGGGCAGTGCCATGTACTTGGCTTTAAATAACGAAGCTTTGGATTTGAAGGCACCATATTGTTCAAGTTGGTCTTCCATAGATTGACATATTTTGGATACAAACCAAGAGACCTTGTCTCAGCTCTCTAGCTGCTAACTTGATTGTCTTTCGCTGCTTCCGTAATTCAGATGTTTTTAAACTCTGTTTTTCTGCCTTCTTTCTTTTTCTATCTTGTTCCAGACATCTTGCATACTATTTACTATCTAATTTTAGACTTTTCCTCTGCAGTCTTTGTCTCTCAGCTGCAATCTTAGCTATCTGAAATTAATTTACAGCAATCTGAAATTAATACGAAATAAAACGCCTCTCAAACTTGTTCAAGATTAATTATGATAGGTACTTGGATCATCACATGTGCATTAGAAGTTGATTCGTCGCTTGGGGAATTCAATTTGAACATTCCCGTGATTCCTTTACAATTTACGTACATACGCCACAAAATCATTGAAAAAACATGTAATCTGCTGGTCGAGCGATAGTTTTATTATAGAAAGCTCTTTTCTTGGTTAATTTTAAAAAATACAACTTTACTTTAAACAGAACTCGTCTCATGTAGAAAATAAGTATATTATATTCGTGACGGAATTACACAGAAGGCAAAATATGCATTTCGAAGAATATGAGCTTTGTTTGGTGCTCTCATGCATACAAAATATAGGTTTAGAAAATCTGACTAGATTTAATAGAAGACAAATATTTTACCTTTTTGATCATGTAAAATTATAATGCTACTTACTTTAGGTAATTTCTCCACCTGACACCAAACATCCATCAAGCGACATCAAAATGGACCGGAGAAATCATGACGTCGTCGCAATTTAATTCAAGATATGGAGACATTTTATGATAAACTGATTATTTATCTATGAGAAAACAATATATTTTCATGCATATTCATCTATTAATTTTGTCATGTAAACGTCCCCTTTTGTTTGAATTATGGAAGTTGGGAATCAGTCCACCACTTTTTTTTCTAACTGTTAGAGTAAACTGTAAAACCTGAACTCTAAGCCTGATTCGCTGCATGTGAGTGGTGAACTCATTCTGGTATTTAACTCAACTTCTCTGTAAAAACTTTCCGTTGCATCGGACATGTGCACATTATTCATATACAAATTCTTTGTTCGTTCGTTTCTGGAGTTTACGTCGACTTCCACCAAGGGTGATATCGTAGACAAGCAAATTCTTCGTTGGCATGCATTTTTCATACCTTTGATAAGTTGGTCAGTGCTTCTATAAAACCCTGTAAACACTACATGAAGATCTGACCCTTTGTAACTATATGTTGCGTCACAGGTCATACGAGCAGCTTTTGACCCTATGACGTCAGACATTTGATTAACCAATCAGCATTGATGTTACTAGTGGATTACCAACAGTTCCGTGTAAAACACGCCTAAAGCACGCCGTAACAGCCCGTTTAATCGACTTATCCCTCACATCATTCAGAACACGTCAATAATAACAACTCTTCCAGATCCTAGTGTAGTAAAGACAAGTAAAACGAAATTTTGAACTATAAAACCGAAACGAAATAGGATCTGTGTTTTAATCAGATTGCTATAAAACGTGAGGCTGAGGTTATTTTGAGTATGATATTATTCAGAATAAGTTACATTATAACATCTTAGTTTACGTGATAATGCTTCGATCTATAAATGAATTGACTCACAAATCATTCTTTGATATCTGAACCGTAATAATTTTTAATTTAAAGTCAGGTGATTATGCATGATATTACATGAAATTAACACATGATATGTGTATTTTTGTTGTTCTCAAATTATTAAAAAGTTATTTTCATTACAATTAATCATTAAAAAAATTG